CCACTCTCTCTCTCTCTCTCTCTCTCTACACACACACACACACACACACACACACACACACACACACACACACACACCGCTGGCCCCTCTAGCTCCGATTGCCAACAGTGCCGCCAGGATTACATAGCGATTCTTATCACTGGTACATCTGATTGCTGCGAAGCTCTTCACTCCAGTCTTTCTCTGCTCTCCTAGATCCTCTTCTCTGGCCCCAGGATGTGGTTGCTGGATTCCCCTGACAGGCCAGATTTGCTGATCCTATCACTCTTGTGTTTCGTTCCTCACTCTGGCACCCGAGACATCAATCAGTTGACTTTCCGGTTCTGCTTCTTTTATTTCCAGCCCTTCGCAGCCTATATAACCATCTCCCCGAGCTGAGCTCCTACCGCTGTTCCCCCGCTATCCCAGCACTCAACCAGAGCAGGTACAATATTCAGACCGGCCCCCTTGAGCTGAGCTGCAGGGATGCCGTGTTATGCCAGCATGGGGGCAAGATGTTCGCTCTTTGGGTAAACCCCCTCTGCCCCGCCAGCCGAGCACACTGTCCCATCTGCCTCCCTGAGAACAGCAGAGGTAAGTGATGGACTGTGTGTTAGAGGCATGAGGCTGTGGCAGCAGCCGAATCCCCATTTCTCAGCACTTTTGCAATCGGCTTGAACAAAGATCGCTGCCCTGGGAGGGAGGGGTCTGGGTGACCTCATGGAGATGGAAAGGAACCTCCCTGGAGGCTGGGAGCCAGGCAGGGGGTGGGAGGATCACCTTGGAGGTGTGTTCACAAACTTGAACCTGCAGGAGCCTCTTTGCGTCATGAACGGAATTCCGGGTTCAGCTTGTGACTCCCCATCACGAACCAGACTCTGTAGGTTTCTCAGCTCTACTTCTCCCTCTCCAGCCATGGCCTGAGGGTCCCCTGGGCTTCTGGCAGCTGGCCTGCAGCACCTTCCTCTCCTACGTAGGTAATAGGGTGATGCGGGGGAGCGGGCATAAAAGTGTCTAATCTAAGTAGATAATTGTCTAAGCAGATGGTCCAGGGGTGAGGGTGTTTGTTCTGCAATTCAGGAAAGTTGGTTTCAATTCCCACGACTGCCACAGCCTCCCTGTGAGACCATGGGGAAGTGTCTCTTTGTGCCTCAGTTTCTCCTAGTATAAAATAAGGCTCATGCTCCTATACCTCACAGGGGTCTTGTGGAGATAAATCATTGAAAGAATGTGAGGTGCGTGGGTAGTTGGCAATAGGAGCCATGTAAATTTCATATCTAGGTGCGGCAGGAGATAAATTCGCTACTGCTTGTAAAGTGCGTAAAAGACAAAAAGCATCGTACTAACGCTGGTGTTTTCTATTCCTGGCTGCCTGGATCACCGTATTTTCAACACGTAATCATCTCTAGCGACTTGTATGGAATAGAAGCATTTAAACGCTCTTGATACAAAGTATGCACTACGTCAGGGGTAGGCAACCTATGGCACACGTGCCAAGGCGGCACACGAGCTGATTTTCAGTGGCACTCCCACTGCCCGGGTCCTGGCCACCCATCTGGGGGGCTCTGCATTTTAGTTTAATTTTAAATGAAGCTTCTTAAACATTTTAAAAACCTTATTTACTTTACATACAACAATAGTTTAGTTATATATTATAGACTTATAGAAAGAGACCTTCTAAAAACGTTAACATGTATTACTGGCACGTGAAACCTTAAATTAGAGTGACTAAATGAAGACTCGGCACACCACTTCTGAAAGGTTGCCGACCCCTGCACTACGTAAAATCTGAAGGCCTTGCACTTTGGCATGCGGGCATTGGTACTGTTAGCTCTGTCTGGGAGCAGGCCGATGCACCTTGTTCCGGTGTGAGCGCTTTATAAGCCTCAGCGGGGCAGGGAAACAAACTAGCCCTAACTTTGCCTAGTTTAATTTTGATCATTTAGGGCTCAATCCAATTCTAACTGAAATCAGTGGGAATCTTTCCCTTGCTTTCAGCAGTTGAACCCCTAGCATCTGATGCTTTTTACTGCCACTGTTTGTTAAAGTGTGTGTGTGTGAGAGAGAGAGAGAGAGACACACACACACACACATTTCAAATCTTCGCTGGCTAATCTGTTCTCTTTCTCTTCCTGACGTGGCTTTTATTCCCCAGGGAATGGTTTGGCTCCAGTGGTAGCTTTGGAAGTGGGCTGAGGTTACGCGATTAGAAATTGGCGTTGATTAGGCTGGTGGCTACCGAGACCACTGTTGTGACTGACTTATGCACGCACCCCTGTCGCTGCTATTATCTCCTCTTATCTGTATTACAGTAGCCCCGAGGGGTTAAATCCTAATTTGTGAGCTCCCTGGGGGCAGGGCTTGTTCCCTGGTCCCTGACTAATCGTGGTCCATGGACTGATTACAGCTGCTTGGGAGCCCTCTCTGCATTAGACCCGTCCTCGTGGCTTGTTCTCCACAGTTAGACTTAGCACTTGTACAGCACGTTCCTCATCGGGACCCTTTGCCAATGTTAGAGAGACAATCCCGACGTTAGCGGAAGGATTCCAATTAAAGAGCATTAGGACTAAATACCAGGACCAAGCCCAAATTCAGCCCTGGGGCAACTCCATTGAGGTCAGTAGATTTACACCAGAGAGTGAATTGGTCCCTTAATTTGAATGATTAAAATGCTCCCAGAGCTCTGCTGTTGGCGTAAGGCTTTATCCTGCCATTCTTTCATTGGCATCTAAGCTGCGCCATCTAGTGGGCCCATGCGTGGAATGCATCCCTAACCACGCACGCTGCATCCAGTCGTGGGGCTGGATTCTCCTTGCGGCAGTGTAACTCTGTTGATTGAGTTGTTCCTGATTTACACCAGCGTGACCATGAGGAGAAGCAGACCAGTGGCATGGGCTCAAGGACAAAGCAGATTGTTCCCCCAGCTAGGGGAGGTGATAATATGACATCTTGAATTCCTGTAGCCCTGCAGGAAAGGGTACAGCCGGGCTGGTGCCTTTCCTTGCTCAGTACCTCTTCCCATCCTTTGCCAAGAAAGCTCACAAACTGGGGGGTGCTTTGGGGTCCCCGAATGCTCCTAGAGCTCCAGGCAGCCAGATAAATCTTTCCCATCTACGTTCGGCTAGACTAGTGCCCGCGTGTGTTTTCAGTGCGGACTTCACCCCGGGATGTGTGCCTCTCTGAGCTCTCACCTGCAACGGCTCTGTGGGGTTTCAGCTAGTGCAGAGTGTGTCTTGCCCCCTTTTGTCAGAGAGCCTCTAATGCCCGCGCTCTAGAGGCTGCACTGGCTTTCTGTTATTCTCCTGTGCCACTCACTCGGCTGAGGTTTTTTTAATCCAGAACCAACTGAACAGGAGCTCCGAGTTGGATGCTGTAGTGAAGAGGGCTAACGTCTGGATGTAGAAATGGGGGAATATCGAGCAGGGCCAGGGAGCTGCTATTTCCTCTGCCTACGGCACTGCTGGCACTGTTGCATCCACTCCTGCGAGCACACTTGAAAACCAGTGTCAGAACTGGAGAGGGTTCAGAGAAGAGCCACAGAAATTATTTGTGGTCCATAGAGTGAGAGACTTAAGGAACTCCATCCATTTAGCATATTGAAGAGAAGGTTGAGAGGGAATTGAATTGCAGTATAAATACCCACACAGGGAGAAGTTGTCTGATACTAGAGGGCTTTTTACCATGGGGCTGGAAGGGACCGCCGGGTAATCGAGATCAGTCCCTGTGTAGTCGGCCTGGGCTTGGCCTTCGTCTCTTTACATCTCTTGCTCCTGGGTCCCCTCCGGAATCACCACTCCCGGGCGAGCCTGCTATTGCCAGAGGGTGTTGTGAAGGCCAAGACTATAACGGGCTTCAAAAGGGAGCTAGATAGATTCATGGAGGATAGATCCATCAATGGCTATTAGCCAGGATGGGCAGGGATGGTGTCCCTAGCCTCTGTTTACCAGAAGCTGGGATTGGGCAACAGGGGATGGATCACTTGATGATAACCTGTCTGTTCATTCCCTTTGGGGCACCTGCCATTGGCCACTGTCAGAGCACAGGATACTGGGCTTGATGGACCTTTGGTCTGACCCAGTGTGGCCGTTCTCATGTTCTTGATGTTCTAGAACAGAACAGCTGTTCTACTGATGTCAGCTGGGAAGCTTTATCTAACTGCCCCTGTACAGGACATCCTCAGCTCAAGGGCCCTTGCAATTCATCTCCCCTACCTAGCTTCGACTGGGCACAAGTCAGTTGACTTCCAGGGCCAGGTGTAAAGCTCGTCCGCTCATTCAGGCCATTCCCTGAAGGGGGGAATTCTCGGGAGGATCTGGAGCTGTTCGGGGAAGCGAGTCTATTTAGCCAGACTAAAAGGTCAGACCAAAGGTCCGTCTAACCCAATATCCTGTCTTCTGACAGTGGCCAATGCCAGGTGCCCCAGAGGGAATGAACAGAACCGGGAATCATCAAGTGATCCATCTCCTGTCGCCCATTCCCAGCATCTGGCGAACAGAGCCTAGGGACACCCTCCCTGCCCATCCTGGCTAATAGCCATTGATGGGCCTATACAACAGGCAAATAAATAGCCCAGCACCTTCGTAAGGCTCTTTATTTGTATCCAAGCTCAGCTGTGAATTAAATCCTGACTCAACCAAATAAATGTGATTCAGGTGGTAGATCTGGAAAACGACACAGAGAAGGCATCAAAATCCAGGGTCTCGCGCACAAGGCATGCAGTCACTTGAGCAGCAGTGAGCCCCGAAGACCAGAATTTCAGAAGAACTTGGTGCTGATGCATTGAGCTCCTTGGAAAATCTGGGTCCTGTTGTGGGTGCGGAGCCCTTTGAAAATTCTGGGCTAATTAATCCCATTTCAAGCGATAGCAGCACTGTGAATCTTTTGTGTCCAACAGTATAGGTCAGAATCCAGACGAAGGGACTGGTTCCCATGAGTTACACCAGTGGTGACTGGATCGTGGGGCGTTTGTATAATCAGGAGTCAGTACACCAGGGGGACAGGCTGGTGGTTGATTAAGAAGGGAGTTTTGAACAGCTGGGGGGTTACGTATTTGGATTCGGCGATATGCAAGGTTATATCATGGGGGAAGAATCTTCCCTTTAGTGAAATATTAGCCAGTCTTTAGTCCCCATCACAACTATGCTATGTGTTTTTTTCTTTTTAAGGGAAGGTTCTGAAGGGGCCCATGCAAAGTATTTTCCATACGTTTTACTATTATATTCCTTTTTCAAATAACTCTGGAAGCTGACATGTGCTTCCGTGCTGGACTGGTGTTTTTTTTCCATCACACATTGGCTTGTTACTGTCATTTGTTCAAGAGTTCTTGGCTGCTGGTGGATGCACGCAGGGGTGTGTGTGTGTATGTGTGTGTATGTGTGTGTATGTGTTAAAATCAGTATTAGTACCTGATCCTGCAAGGGCAACCGTATGGGTGGACCTTTGCACCCATGACTTCAACAGGTCTTCACTAGGGCCCACTCGAGGGGGCTCTCTGCAGGATCAGGGCCTTAAAGAGCTCACGTTTAAAAACAGCATGGATGGACCTGCTGAGATGCTGGCATTGAAGTTAGTGGAGCTAGGCCATTTTACACCTG